CACACACACACACACACACACACACACACACACACACCCTCACACACACACACACACACACACACACTGCTGCTTGCCGTGGATTATTCCTGCACTGAACGACCCAATTAAATTATACTGAGCAGTTGGATTTAGCAATAATGACATTCTCATGCTTGTAGTTCAGAATCACCATTTTATCATCCAGTCATTACTGTGAAATGACCCGATTCAGAAGAAAACAACACTCTGTTCAGTTCAGTTGTTTTCTGGTAAATTTACCACTTTAATTTTGTATAATATCCCAATTATTATTATTTATTTATTTTACCTAAAATTAACATATAAGCCATGGTAATGTACTGAGGTTAGAGGATCTGATTTTCTTCACAGATGACTGAGAGAACGTCAGAGAAAGTGACCCAGCAGCTTTCAAGTAGATTCAGAGGGGTTTGAAAATTCAGTTCATAGAGCGTGTGTGTTAAAACACTGAGAAAGAAATATATAACAATAATTCAATTTCAAACATTTGAAGCTGCCATCACTTCAAGATCGACAGGTTTTAAAATACAGACTTCATACCAAACAATAACTTAATTAACGTCATCCATTAAACAACTAAACCATCTCAATGACAGCTAAATAACTCAATTCCCCCGAGGAAGGCCATGAGATGTGGTCGAAAGCTTTGAAAATAATAACTTAGAATAATAGTTGTTTGCCAAAAAGAACTCGTGGTCAAATCCATGTATGCCGTTAACCGTGTCCCTCCCAAAGGACGGCAGCACTGTGAAGAGTTTTAACACAAACATGTAAAATAAAGTCTCAAAGACCAACAAAAAACAAAGAAATTATGAAAATAATCTCTACCTTCAGAGCAGTCTGGCAGGCCAACAATGTCATAAACCCTTTAAAAACGTAAGTCCACTGTACACTGCTCCGGTTTAAAGTGCGAACTAATTTAAAAGTTTGATTATCTTCACTGACATGTACATTTAGTTTTCCTACTCACCACATCTAAGAAGGTGTTCTCCAGGGATCTGTACTCCGAGGACGTCTTGTTGAAGAGGTCCACGGAGAAGTCCATGTTGGTGACGCGCAGGCTGAAGAACACCACCAGCTCCCGGCCGTGGCTGGCCGTGGTCATGGTGGGCGTGGTCAGGTACCTCACCGGAGGCGGGGCCGTGACGCTGACGGCTGGTTGGAAGCCACTCCCCTCGTCCGGCAGCAGCTGGTTGGCGTCTGTTGCCGCCACGTTGGTTTGATCCAACTCCACCGTCAGGTCCCGAACCGCCTCGTCAACGGTGTCTTCGGTAGCTGCTGGCGAGGCGGTTTGGCTTTCGCCTCCTTTCGGCGCCGCCTCTTCCAAGTCTTCGTCGATGACCACGACCGCCGGCTCCAACTCCGACTCATCCTCCGAAGACTCCGCTACCTCAAAGAGTCCAGAGTCTATGGTCGGGCCGGGTGCAGACACTTCGGACGTTGCCGAAGGTGTAGGGAAGGAGTCTGAAGCCGGTGCTGCCGTTACAGTAACGTCTCTTTCTGAGGGTGGTTCGCTTTGTTGCGTCTCCTCCGGCAAGTCTTCTGAGCCTTCAGTGCCCTCTGATGTGTCGGGGTTGTCTGGATCGGTCACCTCTTTAAAACGTCGGGCAAAAAAAGGATAAATGATCTCATGAGCGCTTACAAAGGATTCCCACAATTGTACATAATACATTCAAACTGCTTCATGCTGCATTTCCAGGTTGAATTCCCACTTTTTGATTTAACAACAGATATTACTCTATAGTATTTAAAATGATCCATAAATCCTGTCTGATAATCAGAAAACATCGGTGCAGCATGTAACACAATATGTTTAGTACTGAAAGTAACGGCTTGTGAAAATCAGCTGGCGAGAAACCCTGAGAATAGAATATTTATATGTCACAGGATGTTTAATTATCTGCTTAAATGTGCTCAGCTCTATTCACATAACTCACTGTCTTTAATCACATAATATTTCATGTTCCTCACCTGCTACAATATCAGAGGTTGTTTCAAACTGTGGATCACTCTTTGATGTTTCTGTCAGTGTGATGCTGTCAACATCCTCCTCCATGGAAAAGTCAGGTTCACCTCCATCTTCTTCAGAGGGCTGGATGTCTATCGGTACGAAGTTATCTTCCTCATCTGGCAGATGATAGTCCGGTCTGACTGGTGGAAGGAACTCGTTATCTTCAATAATCTGAACAGTATCCTCTCCAAAGTGAAGATCCTCCATCCCGTCCAGTGGGGAAAGGATTTTAATTGATTCGGCTGGTGGCTCAGTAACGTCTTCTTCTTCTGGTTCCGGTTCATACATCTCAACTATCTCCTCCTCTGAGGCATCAACTCCTACTTCCTCTTCCGATTCCGGCTCTGAAACCTCGGGTAACTCATCTGTGGGTGGTATAACATAAATGGCACCATCATCCGGTTCTGATGCTTCCTTTGGACTCTCAACTACTTGTTCCTCCACAGAAACATCAGAAACATCTTCTCCAGCCTCGGGTGGAAGTTGCGTTTCCGAATTGTCCGTGGGCTCTTTCTCTGGTACTGGGATCACTTCTTCTTCAACCTCTACTACTTCCACTTCCTGTTCTGGTTCAGATAATGGTTCCAATTCGTCAACCGCACCTTCACCTGGCGCTGAAGCTTCGACAACTTCTTCATCTACTTCTGAAATCTCCACCACTTCCTCGTCTGATTCTGGTTCTGGAACCTCAATGACCTCTTCTTCTTCTTCCTCTACCAGTTCCACAACATCAACTGCCTCCACCTCATTTTCCAGTTCAGGAACTTCAGGTACTGTTTCCTCAGAAACTTCAGGTACTGTTCCCTCAGGAACTTCAGGTACTGTTTCCTCTGGAACTTCAGGTTCTATTTCCTCAGGAACTTCAGGTTCTATTTCCTCAGAAACTTCAGGTTCTATTTCTTCTGATCCTTCAGGTTCAACTACCTTCTCTCCTTGTTCTAAGACCTCATCTTCTCTCTCAGTTTCTGGACCCGGATGCAACACATCAAATATATCTTCTTCTGGTTCCTCACTGACCTCACCTCTTACTTCAACTATTTCCTTTTCCGGTTGCAAAACTTCCACTCCACCTTTCACTCTATCTTCATGCAAAATCTCAACCGCGCTATCGTCTGTTTCCGCCTCTGGTTTAGATTCTTCTGGTTCAGAAACCTCAACTGATTCCGAATCCTCGTCAAGCTCCTTCTCTTCAAGTTCTGAAGCTGCTACCTTGTCTTCATCTTCTACCAGAGACTCCTCAGCTACTTCTTCCTCTGGCTCTAAAACTTCAGCTACTTCTTCCTCTGGCTCTAAAACTTCAGCTACTTCTTCCTCTGGCTCTAAAACTTCAGCTACTTCATCCTCTGGCTCTAAAACTTCAGCTACTTCATCCTCTGGCTCTAAAACTTCAGCTACTTCTTCCTCTGGCTCTAAAACTTCAGCTACTTCATCCTCTGGCTCTAAAACTTCAGCTACTTCTTCCTCAGGTGTCGGCTGCAAAGGCTCAAGCTCTTCTTCATCGGGTTCCACCACCAACTCTCCTTCTGGTTCTAGCAATGCAACTTCACTTTCCAACTCGTGGCCATCCTCTGGAAGAACGTTAACATCTTCGTCTTCTTGAGGGTTCACTGTTGGCCGAGTGGGCGGCTGGCCCGTGATGCCTGAAAGCGTTGTGATTGGGAGTCCCACACCGGACGGTTCCTCTTCAGCAGGAGCCGTAGTCAATAACATCTGTGCAGTCGGGGTAAAAACGTCTAAACTGGGATTCTCACGGTCCTCCTCCACGGGAGATAGGTCTTCCTCTGATATCAGGTTGGGAGACAGACTGATATATGGAGCTTCTGTCTCCAGCTGGAGAATCACAGGAGGGGTCGGGCTGTAGTCCCTCACAAGTTCACCAGTTTCGTTGTGATGGATTGTTTCAATCTCATGCGTAATGATCGGCAATTCTTCTTCTTCCTCCTCCTCCTCCTCCTCTTCGTTTGATGGCTGGGGCTCACTCACATAAATTGCCTCCGACTCCTCGGTAATATCCCCCGAGGCAGAGGAGCGATCGCTGCTCTCCACTATCCCACCAGTCACCGCCGTCGTCTCTTCATCGGGGACGGCCGTGGGATCGAGCAGAGTCACGAGGGCATTTTCCTTCTCCAAGGGGGTGAGGGGAACCACCGGCCGAGGTTTATCCACTTCTGGCTCATCGGTGAAGACTTCAAACTCGTTGTGTGAATCGGGCTCACTGGACTGTGGAGAGATGAACAAATGGCGTGACTAATGCATGAAAAAGGATGCCTTTTGTCAGTGACGTTGCATTTCATGTTACACAAAGTATTCCAAAAACCTCACTTATATATTTAATTACAAAAGCTTGTGTTATTCAGGGTTGGTGTTAGTATCTTTAGTATGCGGGGACATTCATGTCCTCATGATTTAATCAGAGGACGAATGTTTTCACTAGAAATTCTCAGGAAGGTTTCCAGAAAGAATGTCATTTGGTAGAATTTACAGTAGAAATGGGGACAGTGTGTTTCAATCAGGTCGAATTAGAAACATTTAAATGTTATTATACTATTTATTTATATCATATTACAGGCTCCCTCCACATACTTAACATTTTGAATTCACTATATTTTCAACAATCACATCCAAGTCAACAAACTACAGTATATCTATATAATAGTATAGTATACTATAGTATAGTATAGTACAGTATATATATATATATATATATATATATAGTACCAATAGCATCGGTAAAACCTCTCACCTCATTCACTACTTCAACCGTTAAGGTTGCCGTCAGTGCTGGCAGGAGGATCGCTTCTGTCAAAAAAAGGAAAATGTAACACAAAGCATTTTTAATCTTGAGATGCATGAATTTAGATTAAATACAAATTTACTATTCACATTTGCCCACCAGCTTTCTGTGGACAGTTGAGGTCTATAACACCAAGGCATTTCAGATAGTTTTAATATGCTGCAAATCCATTCATTGTACTCTACATTCAGTAAAAGTGACATAAACATCTGTTCAGAAAAGGACCTGGTTTGAAGTTAAGCGAGTCCAGATCGATCGGCAGCGAAGCCTCCTCACGTAGAGCCTTGGTCACCATTTCTCTGAGGCCGGAGCTGACTGAAGACTCCGGGGCGCCGGTCGCTGCCGCCGCAGCCTCGATTTTAGGTGAATTAATCTCAAAGACCAGCGAGTAATGCACCGAGATTCCTCCGGGCCTTAACAAAAAAGAAGGGTATTATATTATGTCTGTGATGCAGAGCTCTGATTCTTTCACACTGAATACAGAACTACTGTTGTGATGGATTTTGTCCTGGAAAACGTTAATAATAACTTTGTATTAAAGGGTTTCTGACTCTCAGCGTGAGCCGCAGAGAGAGAGGACCTCCGCTTAACGCACAGCAGGTGACTGACACAGGTAATCAGATGGCGTGTGGCGCTGCAGTGAAAGAACGCCACACTCAGAATGTCAGGCATGAATATCTATCATTTGAGACTGCATGAAAAGCTTCATATATTCTGCACAGCTATCATCGTGGAGAGAGAATGATTAGAACGGGCCATGATGTGAGATTCCTTGCTTTTCTGTGAGAACTGATGACTGCCAAACAAAAGCACGTCTTCATCAGGTTAGCAGTGGTGGTTCCTCATCTAAACATAAACACACCTCCACTGCATCACTGTGTTGAAGACTCAGACAGCGTTTTGTCTGAAGTGGACCTGATTGTGTCTCGTATCTGTAAACACACACCGTGTGTCCCGAGTGTTACTGACTTCTGATCCAGGTGAGGACGTCTCCATGGAGCCTTTCCTGATGTTTTGGATGTTTGCTGTTGCCTTATACAAGTCATTTCAAAGAGCAACAGGTGGTATGTGTCTGAACCTACTTCCATGCTTCACTTGTTGCCATATCATGTCGTCACCCAACATCTATTCCAAGCAGCTCCTCTTTGTTCTCATTCTGCTGTGATGAAGGCGGCGGTGGAGCCATGTGGGTGCAGCCCACACGTTAACGGCTTTTTAACTTCTCAAAGCAGAGAAATGTGCCTTGAACTCTTCTTTCCGGGGAGTTCAACCTTCCCCTCGAATACAAGCAGAGCAGCTTTATTCTTTCCCTTTGTCTTTGTATGCGTTACACCTCCGGTTTCAGAGATCTCTCTCTTCATTCATCTGACGTAGAGCGATGCACTCTTTGGCTTGTTTATCCCGCCTCTTTGTCTGGATCCTTTTCCCACATGACGTCTCTAACCCAACAGCTCCACCAATCAATGCTTCTTATGTTAACGACGACTCAGAGAACTACTTGCAGCGTGGACAAACTCTGCTCTTCTAAGGAGCTCTGTGGCCTCTTTTATCTCACGGTAGTCATTTCTATGGCAGATGTTCTGTCTCGTTTGTTCTCAGTGTTTTTCATTAAACGAGCTCTGATAAGCGCCTTGCACACTTCCTGCTAAGCAGCAAACAGACAGACACAGTTACAGACGAGCTGCTGAGCACGGTGGAGCATTCAGCAGCTAAAGAGACGGATATTTCCCTCAGGAGGTGGTGGAGACCGAAAACAGAGCTAAGAGAGAGAATATTGGACTCATTGGCCTTAAAACCTAAACAATGACCTAAAAGATGTTAGAACTCATGTGAGGACTTTCTGTAGGTTTGTCACTACAAGCTTCTACATTATAATAAAGGCCTTTACACACCAGATGTGTGACCAATAAACCTTTTATTGAAATGCTCTGGGAGAATTTGTTCTCTGATAAGCAGTTACCCAGTGTGTATGTCTAGGGCTTTTATTGTCAAAGGTAAGGACGGAAGGAGTGGATCTGGTCTGCACTGACTTTGTCAAAGTTGAAGGGAATAATAAAGTTTGCGCTCTAGTGTCCACCAGGGGGCGACTCCTCTGGTTGTATAGAAGTCTATGAGAAGATGACTCTACTTCTCTCTTGATTTATTACCTCAGTAAACATTGTAAACATGAGTTTATGGTCTCAATCTCTAGTTTCAAGTCTTCTTCAATACAGCATGATGTTCATTTAGTACATTATGGTCCATTTAGAGTCACACAGACCATAAAGCAGGGGATGCTTTAGGGCGGGGCTGCACCGTGATTGACAGGTCTCTACCAGAGACGTATACGGCGTCTCTACGTCACTCCTCCTCAGTCCATGTATGGTCACTTCCTGTTCACTGGTTGCAAGAAAACAAGATGGCGACGGCCGTAATCAAAGATGGCGACTGCAAAATCGCACTACTCGAGGCTTCAAAACATCAGTCCACAAACCGATGAGGTGACGTCACGATGACGACGTCCACTTCTTACATTCAGTCTGTGATTCCATTCAGCACAGTTTGGCACTGCATTAAAGAGTAAACAAACACCAAATGTTTTCTGCGTTATAATTTGTTGTCAACAGAAACATATTCTTCATTTATTTTCTTCTTCTTCTTTATTACTGCAGTGGATAACAGCAGACAGTTTCCACTGAATGTGTGTCTTTGTTTTGTGAGTGCCGGAGTCTGGCAGACAAAAGCAGGAGGAGTAAGATTAGAGGACGAGCTCCCGCTGAGGTTTCGCCTCCGTGTTATTGGCCGTGACAGCGGCAGACGCCACAGGGGGAAGGCTAATTAACGGGGGGAGCAGCCTGACAATTACTGAATCCACAAGTCTTCCTGTCGCACTGCTCACCTGCCTCCTCCGATAACGAGAGGAGAGCCGGAGAGCTTTGAGAAAAAAAGACGCCTCGTGTTAACGGTTAACGAGGAGCAGATTCACGGGACAAACGTCGTCTCGTCTCGCAGGTCACTCTGACATTTCTACTTTGTGTTGAAGTGTCTGCACTGCTTTGGGCAGATTAATCCTCCTTTCTGTGTCTGACTTGGATTTAGAAATGAAAAAGCTGCACAAACACACGTGAGGTGGAGACGCAAGGGAATGTGTCACTTACCCGTCGGTGTCCTGCGTCTCGCTTGCATTGGGGAGAAGAAAAGAAGATATAAGAGCTGGAAATAAAACAACAGTTTACAGCAAGAACAACACCAGCAGAGTGAGGAAGAGCCAGAGATCATGGCGGTCAACTTGTCACTTCAGATTCTACACAAAACATTAGGTTTGACTTGAGCGTCTGAAAGCTTCTCTGACTATCGTCTCTGTAACATCAACCATCGGTGGCAACATAAGAAGTTACAACGACCTTAATTACAAAGTTTACTGTGCTGATCTCCGGCATCAGGACTGTGATGTTTGATCACAGATAAAACATGCAGTGTTTCATCTTTTAAGCCTCCAATGAACACTACGGCTTTTCTTTACCTTGTTAAGGTCTCAACGTGATGTGTTTTATTTGCTAAAACACACGTCTTGAGTGAAGTAGGTATTCAGGTATCAAGGCCTTGGCTGAGCATTTCCACTTTAGACCGGGAGTCAGACAGCCGGGTTTTCACATGTCACGTACCTGAGGAACCAAATCCTTTTGGGGCTTTGCATGTCGTTAACGTTACGGTGAAGCCATGTGTTGCTACCTGACTGGAGCTAAGTCGGCTACTAGTGAACGAACGCAGAGAAGTGTTTTAAAGTTGAAAAGGAGAAAGTGAGGCTGAATGTTTCTACCAAAGGATCCAAACATATTCTGAAGAGATGCGTACGTTTATCTGGAAAAATTCTACAAATGAAATGAAGCCAAGACTGTTTAGTTACATGATGATAAGTATTAAATACAGGACATTTATATGGCTTGGGGCCAACAGAACACTTTGGCTACAACTTATTATCACAGGTTATTTTATTACCATCCAAACTCCTGAAGAGATGAGCACAAACAAGCAATAAGTTAAATAAGTAATACTTATATTGTATTCATCATTAATGGTCTTCGTGTCCGTTTTGAAGGTTTTTAGTCAATTGAAGCCCTGAAACTATGATTGTTGAATCCTTCACTAGGAAAGATGCAGTGACTTTGAAGAACAGGCGATATTCCATGTTATGATAACTGGAAATAAATTCAAGTTTTATTTCTCAACATTGTGTTTTTCAGCACTTTTGTCCATATTGGTGCCAGTTTCAAGTTTCTCCACAACTGAAGTCAAAATGTTGTTTTCGTCTTCAATTAGAAAACAACGCCGTGATGTTCTGTCACTAAACAATTAAAAAACGTCTTGACATGTTTCATTACATCTTAGATTATTTAGTTTTTGTCTCACTATTACAGCATATAAACAGGACGTGTAGTCATCCACCATCTGTCTGTGTTAACATTGAAAGAAGAACTTCTGCTTCATCGCTGGTGGTTATGATGAACATGTTATGATGTTGTTAAGAACACAACCCTCTATATTTATATCTGCACATTGTCTTCGTCATCATTGGAGTTTAAATTGTTGTGAATATAAACGAAACATCGACTTCTCCTAAATGACTTTTCTTCATTCTGTCTTGTTAGTCGAGGCTGGACACATTCTGCCTGCAGCAGCATCAACCTGCCTCTCCTCTCGTCCAGAGGGCCGTCCTCTGAGATCTAATGGAATCACGAAGGCTCAGTGGAACGTCCCGCTGATCAGGCTTTAACCACACGTCCCTGCTCATCCTCTGCACACTCGGATGTTCATTTCATGCTCAGGACTCACCTGATTCTCAGCACGTGGATGGCTTTATATCCTGGAAGTTTGTCAAACGCATGCTGCATCTGTAGAGAGAAGAAGCACTTTATATCTTTAATGCCTCTCTCCTCTCCTCCGCAGAGGTTGATGTGATTAACTTCCAGCCGTCAAAACGGGAGCTGGTTAATAACCTGGAGGGACGCCAATGTGTCGGTATACAGAAAGGAGCGCATGAAAGAGAAAGCCTGGTTGACATCTATCTTTGGGGCGAGTTAAGCACCCGGACGCTCTTATGACATAATCGTCTTTACGGCCTCTCGTCAGGTGACTTCCTGCTGCGGATCGCGTGACACTCTGAAGGCTCCGATGCTTTGTGTTTAACGAGTCTTTGGATGAGGAAATAACATCGAAGGGACTTCGTTTATCGACTCCGCTCTTCTATTTGAGGGCCCTCGATTAAAAGTAAAACGCTGTCAGAAAGAGAGGATTGTGGGTAATCTTCTCCCTTTCTCTGGCCCTGACCTTTACGGCTCTTCTGGTGTGAGCTCCTCTGCTATCAGGGACGGGGACTCATGTGGACAGGGACTCATGTGGACTGGGACAGGTGAGGACCTGACAGACACAGTGATGGAGGCACATTGTCAACAAAATGTCATGAATGTATCTGAAAATTAAAATGTATTCCCATACTTCTTACATCTGTTGCTTCCCTTTCTAATCACTCACACATTTAACCAAATCAGAATATTAATATAGTTTGAAGAATACCTTTATTTATATTAAAATCAACATGTTTTAATATATAATTAATTATATATTTTTCATATTTTCACTTAAAAGTGCGATTCAATCCATAGAGATTTAAATAATGACTGAAAACAGCGGATCTGTCCTTTACAACGTCTTATTATCATCAGGGAGAACAAATGGGCAGCTGAAGTTTACTGCGTCCTTTTAGATTTGAATGCATCGTTGGTGACGTCATCGCTGTGCCACAGCTAGTTCAGCACAAAGGAAAAGAAGACAGACTTTCTGCAGCTGCCTCACCACCACCTGAGATGCATTTCGATGGTTTGCTGTCAGCGTCGCCTCCATTTTCACATCTCCAGCACACTCAAACTGTCAACTTCACTGCAGCAACCAGGTCGAGGTCAGCTGTGCAGCCGTGGTGACACTTCCAAAGGGAAGCTTCGAACTGACCCCAAACCCCTGCACTGCTTTGTGAAATCTATTTCCTGTTCCATCTTGATTCAAACAGGTAGATAGTTCAGTAAAGCCACTTACAAAAAAGACCCAATATTCAGCAGGATCGTCTCATTTTTCTAAAAACAAAACCAAATCTACAGAATAATTAAAAAGATAAAATAATCATGAATTAAAGTTTGAACAGAAAGCCTTGATAAAAGTAGATTAACTCTAAAGTCCCACCTGGTCCTGCAGGTGGTGAGCCAGGTCGATGTACTGGGGGGAGTCTGGATCGTCCAGCAGCTCTCTGTAACCCGGATCCACCAGGTCGATGCTGAACTCCACCAACTGCTCCACCGGACTCTCAGGGACCACGTTAGGAAGCTCCGAGTCCTTCAGGAGAACAAACACCAGTAAGTTTCACAGAAACACAGGAATGAGGCGACAGTTCTGATGCATGAACAACGTCTTCATCTAAGAACAAATCAACATGATTCTCAATTACGAGTCTTTGTGTTTATGTCACCTGGTGAATTTAAGTCCAATATTTGCTCTCTTTTAGCTCTGTTGGTCTCCACCAGTACAATTGTGGGCCAGACAGAAAACAATGAGCTGAAACTCCCAATTAAGCTTTGTCATGATTCTTTTGTTTTCAGTGTTTCTGAGGAAAGCAATGTCTGTCCAATGTCTGTCCTGTTTGACAAAATGACGGCGTCTTCACCAAACCCGCATACGGAAGATCTTCAGAGGAACTCAGACTGTTTGTACCTCTTCTGTACAAACTCAAAAGACCTCCTTCAGTGCCAGACAGGGGAAAGCAGTGATAAACTGTCTGCAGCTGGACGGTCACATGATCGATCTGTTAGGCAGAAGTCCAGTTACAGTTTGTACTTTAATAACTGGGACACTTTGTCTGTTTTGAAAGGTTGATGCAAAATTACTGTTACTTTCTGTTTAGTAACGTCCAGACTTCCAGGTTGCTTCTGGTTTTCCAAACAACTACTGTAGTAAAGAATTGAAAACTGTCTTTAGGTCAGCCCACTATCACAGTGAAAAGAGCACTATATTACCTCCAACAACCAGCTTCGGTTCATCTGTTAAACATGATTTTCGTGTGACTTGGTGGCAGTGTGAAGCATGGGTCAAAGAAGAAGCCATTCACTTCTCTCTCTAAAAACATATTGGCCTCGGCAGATGTGTCCAGCTGCCCTTCTAGTTAGGCTGCGTTGTTCGTCCAGTTTGGTTTTAATAGTTTATTAGAAAATGTCTCGCCATGACCCAAGAAACAAAGGATTCGTTTTTGTTGTGGAGTCTTTCAAAAGGATTTCTTGTCATTTCATGATTTCTCAAAGCACTGCACTTATATATCTGGTTGGTTGGTTGGTGGAGAAAGTAAACAGACCTGAAGCCTGATGTCTGTTTAATCTGTATAATCGTTTCTGCTCTACGTTGTGACCTGTTGCTCTGATTCATTACTGTGAAGCAGTGCTGCAGTTAACGACCATTTATATTATCTGTTCATCCGCAGATCTTCTTCTCCATCAATCATTTGGTTCATAAAATAATAAAAAAAGTGAAAACTGGCGTTCACTCGTCCACAGCAACAGTCTCACTGAAAGACTCACAGTCCAAAACCTTAAGATATTCAAATTATTGTCGTATTTATACAATCAATAGAGATTCACTGAGAAATGTGAGCCGATAAAAAAACCATCTTGTATCACAAGTAGATGACAGAACTCTAAAACTGATTCTACTGTCCAGATCAAGCAGACATGGGCCTGCAGGTATCCGAGGATGATTGGAATGATATTTGGGGGGGGCAGACCACTGCTCTCTCATCCAGTCAGGAGATTGCCTTGAAATAAGGAAGGCCTTTAGAGTAGGAGGTGATTACTCTTTTGTCACATTATACCTGGGGTAAATCCCAGACGCCCTCATGGCCCGCAATGAATAACCTGTGAAGCACTTTTAGTTGAGAGCCAGAAAGCATCACACGGAGGTGGAAAAAAAAAGGCATCAGAAGGACGACTGGATCGCAATCTTCAACAAAATACACGATATGAAAAGTAAATGACGTTTTCCTCAAGACTACGATTTTAATCAATATATAAAATACTGGAAAACATGGATTACACACTGTGAGGGATGTAACCGACTGTCTGAGCTGAAAAACCTGACCATAAACTCATGTTTACAATGTTTACTGAGGTAATAAATCAAGATAGAAGTAGAGTCATTTTCTCATAGACTTCTATACAACCAGAGGAGTCGCCCCCTGGTGGACACTAGAGAGAATGCATTGGTTTCACCCGGCAGAACCGGAGGTTGCCGCCTGCACCCAACGTGTAAATGTAAGTGCTTGCTGGTACCTCCTCTTCCTCCTCGACTGGCTGGGTCTGCACGAGGCCGGGGCTTGGAGAGGCACTCTCGGGGCTGAGGACGGCGGCGGCGCTGGTGAGAACCGGCGGGGTCGCTGACGGGGCGACGGTCTGAACATCTGCACCTAAAGTTACACCAGAGGGACTGTTTAATCACAGAGTATCAGCAACATCAGAGTGTACTGACTTACAGTCTCTCAGTGAGAAACATAACTGTAACTGTTAGACATTTCACAGTTCATGGTCCAGAGAGGTCATTACAGCACATATGTGTTCAACAGACAATGAGAATTCAACAGCAACATTTATAATGACATGATGAATCTATTATGTTGCATCAGATACATAAAGAGTTTCTACCTGCTTTCTCATCGGGGAGCATCGGAGCACGAGTCGCCTCTTCTCTGCAGCACAAAAGTATTATGATATTCATCATTTCAGCCTTCATGAAACAATAACAATAAAATACATGTAAAAAATACAAGGATCTGTGGTTGTTTGATTTGTACAATGTTATCACATTAAATGTCTTAAAATATATGAATATAGTTCATCAAATTTTTGTTTTTTAAACGGTATATCTTCAGGGTTTTTTCTAAAATTGTCTTGCTTGATTGGTTGACCACGATCTCAAAGTGATAATATATGCAACAATACCTTCAGTGACAGTGTACACCTTTGCCTTTCTCATATCAACCTGGTAAGAGTCAAGACAGTGGAAACGTCCCCCATGTGTCCACGTGAGACGTCTCTCGGTATCTATGCACCTAAAGAAGTAAACCTGAAGTCTCTCTGCACATCTCAACACCTTCATCTTCACTCTGTTTCTACAACGTGCTTGTGTGTATGTGTGCATGTTATGTTTTTATATGTATATATGTATGCATGGAAGTCTCTGTTTATTTGCACCATTTTTTTCATTTTTATTGCGTATTTAATGCAAAGCACTCAGAAGTGCTTCTGCTTGATTTGGTTTCTATACAGATGCGTTTGAATTTGAATATTATTGTCATCAAGCTGCTGCCGGTACGAGCGATATCAATCAGGTCTTATCTCCGGCAGGAGATAATGAGACGGGTTGCGTGTGCGTGAGTGAGCGGGTGCATCTCGGTGTCTGTCCACTACTAATCTGTCAATCATCATATTTTAGGTGTCCAGTTACATGCTCAGGGACCTCTCGTGGTCAAGGTGACTTGTCTGTTTTATACTCCTCACTCACTCGTCTTAGTAAGTGGTTATGGGCATGATAAGGAATAAATCAGTCTGACACGTTCTTAAGCCCAAACCCACTTCTCCTCTCTCTTCCACTTCTCCTCCCTCCTTTCTTAACCCTTTAACATCCAGCTGCCTACACAGAGCGTGCTGGTGGCGACATCTGCTACCAGATCATCAACATTACTGTAGATACTAAATATGTGGAAACAAGATGATAGACAGCAATTCAATAACACGCTAAACATAATTGTGCTCATGCACATTACGTTTAAACCTGTGTTTATATCGCTCTGCAGCCAGAGAGACGTTTGGGGGAACGTGGGAGAAACGTTTGCTGTGGGAGGAAGCAGGAGAACCCAGAGAGAACCCACGCAGACACGTGGAGAACGTGCAAACTCCACACAGACGGGCTGTCCAGCCTGGGAATCGAACCGGGGTCCCTCCTGCTGTGACGTGACAGTGTTAGCCACCACACCTGCAATTGTAAAACCCTTGCAGTCTAGATAGAGGGGTGGAGGATCTGCACTCTACTCAGTGCACCTTTTCAGCTACACCTGAGTCCGTTTGGATCAGGACCGACTACACATGGGTCCATTTCACATTATTACTCTCTTCTTAATAATGGTCAGTCACATCTAAAGCACTTTGTATGAAAGGTGTTATTGAAATAAAGACTGAGCCACCCTCGTGTAATCTGGGTTAAGCTTTCAGTTTCTTCTTCTCTGTTTCCCTTCATTTCCTGTCACCTCTGTAATAAAGGAATTACAACATGTTTGATTAACTCCAGTTTGAGTCTGTCTGCATGTAGAGAGAGAAGCTTACCGTGATGGAGGCCTCCTGTCTCTCATCCGGTTCATCCTCTGGAAACACAAACACACGGTTGAACTCTCAGTAATTGTCCACATGATTATGATTATGGTGTCTGTGATAATGATGATGTCAGTGGACGGTCGTTGTCTGTGCTGCTTTTAGATTGATGACAGATTGGACGCCTGATTAATGGATTCGTTCAGTTGGTTGTTTTTGGTCTTTAAACTCTGGACTTTGCGTAAACACAATTATGTGCTAATTATGTGCTAGTTGTTTGTTGCGGTTTGATAATACGTTTAGCTGCAGTCGCCTCTCGAGCCTTGAGGGAGTTTTACGGCCTTCAGGCCGTAAAACTCATTAAATCTCCACAGTGTAAGTGTGATGAAACGTCTCAAAGAGCTTCCTGTTGGTATTTGCTGAGGTGGCAGGCGGCCGGCTCTCTGAGCCCGTCCTGGTGTTTCTTTGTGTTTCGGGGGTTCTCACCCTGTGAATCATGCTCATGTGCTCCTCGGAGGCGCTGAAGTTTTTGGCGAGGTCGGAGATGCAGAGCGCCTCGTGTTGACACGCGTGAACCCACTTCTGGTACTCCGTCGTCCCGGGGATCCTGTCGAAGAAGATCCTGAACGCCTCCCACACGGCCTCCTGACAAACTGACCGTGCACGTGCACACGCACACGCACACACACACACACACACACACGTTTGTTTGCTCGCAGGACGTCTGTGTCTACAAATTGTCGACAGATTTTTGTTTGATCGTTTGGCAACAAACAAGTGAAACAAGTAAAAAGTTGATCAAAAGGTATTTTGTGCACAGAACAAAATGCAGGTGGGTAATTGTAGAAGCATGTGGTGAGAGACGTGTTTCATAAAACAACAACAGCGTCATAACTTCAGAGAAAAAGTGAAGAAGAATTTGAAAAACTTTAAGGTAGAATATGGAACTTTCCACATTATTGTTATTATTATTATTAAAATGGTCTAAAAGGACTTGACCATTGTTATATTTGTTGTTGAGTTCTTTACTGACACTTTAAGTCACAGTTATGGTGATACATTTAATTATGAAGGCATATCTGATCATAACTTTTGTAGAATTTAGGAGAAATCGAGAGACGCAAATAGACAAAGTACTAAAATATGTTTTCTTTCCTCTAATCTGAAAGAAGACGTGTTGTGGAAGAGAGTCTCGTCTTAAACAAAAGGGAGCGACACAAGAAGACAAGATAATAGATGAGAAGAATCACAGCTTGCACGTATTGAATAGAAGCTAATGAGCAGAACAGAATGAAGCCGTCAGAGGTTCTACGATCAGCAGACGAGAAGTCTCTCTGACATTTACAGCAGAACAACTTTAATCCAGTGAGTAACATTAACATTCATTCATTCACACTGTGTGAGCTCACAGAACAATAATTAAAACTGTCATTGTGCCGTTATCACAATAACGGCACAATGAGTACATTTATTACTTCTGTCCTTCTGTCTCTCCTCTGATGTCACTTCTTTGACAAACAGAATTTTAAAATGGACACATTTTATTCTTACTTCTATTCTTCATTCTATTCTTCATTATATTCCATTTTCTACATAGAATGTGGGTTGGATCTATAATTGTGGGTCGGATCTATAATTTTAACTTCTTGTCAAAAATATCTGGGAAAAAAAGTCTGAAATGAGTTTTTGTTTTCGTGTCACATCTGGTCAGAAACAGTCGGAGCTCAAACAGCAATTGTGATATTTTGTTTGTCAAAAATTGACAAAAATTAGCTCTCTAAGCTAACTGGCTTATTTACATTGAGGAGGAAACTGAAATGCTGATTAATGTGCACTGTCCCTAATTAATGAATACATACATTATATTAACTCTCTGACTGGATTTGAACCGGAGTTCACGGTCAGCATCTCCGTCTCCGTCTCATAGCCTCATGAAACAGACTCCAGTATAATCTCTACAAGACTTCTCATTGGCTGCTTGATGTCGGAGATGTCCTTGAATGCACCGCCACTAAAAGTTTTTGTCCAAGATTGTCCAACACCAACAAAACCTCCTGCTGGATTTAAATCTGCCAGAAGAATAGAAATCCTCAAGACATCTACATCTAATGTGTGCTTTGGTAAACTGTAGTTTAGCAGCCTGTTTATGACTCATCTCTCTGACTGTGTGGGGTCGGTACCTCTGAGCTGGTAATACCCCTGGTGGCTGGCGAGCACTTCATTCAGGGTCTCTTGGGGGCAGATTTTCACTCCGGCGTGTAAGAACACCGACCTCTTGGGCCGCCGTTGGTCCACTTGGAACCCCGAACCTTCCGTTTGCGTGGACGTCTTCAGCAGCTCCACCAGACGCACGGTGGAGCCGCCGGCCACCGGTTTCGGCTCCACGTCCCGCCCGACGCCGACCTCTGGACAGGGAAACAAGGCAGGGAAATAAAAAAGATTTGAGGGTCGGACCAGATCCTGGACTGATCCAAATCCTTCCGTTCAGAGCAACAGATGGGTTGTGTTTACTACAAAAAAGGACAATAATGTCAGAAGATTTAAGCATTTGGAAACATGCAGTTGCAAATTGGATTTAGAGTTGTTTTCTGTTCCCGGCAACAGAGATGACTTCATCTACTGTAAACCCCACCCGTCTGGTACTACAAGCAGCTTAAATCAAACACAGTATTTGGGGACTATGTGTTGAAGGCGTGCTGCTAAAAGCACATTACATTTTTAATACACAAAGACAGACCAGCTGCCGCAGCCCTGTGTGATGTGTTGTTCCCGCTACGTCACATTTAATCAACAGTTATTTCAAACATCATGTTTAATCAGACCTAATTGGTTTTACTCGCAGCCAATCACCGCAAGTGTTCTTTGATTTAACGCTGACTCGTGATTGGCCCACTACAGCAGCATCTACCGCCCATACAGCCAAGACCACCTGGAGCAGGGCCGGCGGCTAGCGGCCAGCTAACGGCGCTAACAGCGCAAACAACGGCAGCAGTGCTGGGCATATATTGGTGCTGGTGTCGCGTGTTTTTTTTTTAAAGGATACCAAGCCCAACTCTTAAATGACTTCTACGCGCCAAAGTAACCGTTCTCGAACGAGGCTCAGTGTTTGTGTTTATCTGCGGCCAATGAGGTTGTGTTTTCACTTTGTTTGTTTGTTTGTCTGCAAGATTACGGAGAAAACTTCCGGCCTGATTTTCATGAAACTGGGTGGACGTGTGTAGCGTGGGCCAAAGAAGAACCCGCAAGCATTAATATTCACTTGTGGAACGTTAGCTTAGTGCAGCTCTGCACCCTCTTGAGTGCCTTTCTGGTTTTCTCGACTCATAACCAGCAGCAGTTATGAGCGTTTTCTCTCCCTTTATCTGTACTTTTTGTTTGTTAATAGAAACCTATTTTCAGCATTTTCCAACCTTGTGTGCTGTAGACCTTTGATGCACCGACACATGAAATAAGAAAGAAAAAATACTTAAGAAATACACTTTTTTACCTTTTACAACACATGAAACACATGCTTCCAGATGAAGGCCATGATAATGAAACTCTTTCTCTATATGAATCTGTCATAATAGCAGCATCTGTGTTTAGTGCTCAGAGTGGAGTTTGTCGTTATATATCTCTGCCTGCCAGGCAGGGTTCGGGGTTCGCTTCCCTCCTCGTGCCCACTCGTCCTAAAAATAAATCACTCGCTGCACCTGAAGGGTGCTCGGAACAAAAAGCATCCACCAAACAACAGTGCACCGCACTATAAATGATGTTGATCGGCACAATCTAGCGGATGTATTTAGGGTGCATTAGTGGGTGTCGTAATTCAACCGGCGTGCTTATCGCCGCTTAATAAGAAATGTTTCGTGAAGTGAAGGACAAACGTCACAGGCAGGATGTTTCTGTTTATTTATAATATTCAGATTTTATAAAACAGGAAACTAACAACCCGTCTGTCTCTCTCTCTCGACATGTTTATAGCCGTTTTCCACAAAATACAGACATAAGTCTGGCACCTTTACTGTAATTCAAATTGTCAAGCTGTCACCAAGCTGGCAATAACTCTCGTAAAGCGCGGCTATCATCCGCTCTCCATTTTCATTTGCATTGTGGGAATATTGTGTTTGCACGTATTCGTGATCCGGCACACAGATTTCACTCTGGCTGCGTGTTCGGGACTAAAGACGAAAGGGATTTACTCAACTTCTCTCTGTTTTCTCCTGCATTCAAAACAGACTCTTTTTTGTGGCCTTCGGGTGAAGAGTCCAACACCTCGGTGATGTCACAGCCAAGTACTTACGCAACCCTAATAGGCTTTGCTTTGCATTGTAACCAAGTTTAGTAAGACTACAGATAGCCTTTAAATCCTTGTATCTGCTCTTATCTATTGAGGATGTTATTCTTTTCTTCTTTTTTGTTGCAGAGAATAGAAGGTGGGAAAACTTATTTTAAGTTGTAAAAAGGACTTAAAGTGTCAGGGCTCAAAGGGATCGTGGCTCTTAAGAACAAAACGAGGCTTACCTTTAATTCCAGCAGCTTGTGGAGCGAGGACGAAGAGCAGCATGAGTCCCAATTCCCACAGCATCGTGGAAGAAGAGTTCCCAAAAAGTGTGAGCGTCAAAAAGTTAACTCCAGCAGGGTTGGGGGGTGGCTGGCTGGCTGGTTGGCGTCCTCTAGCTCAGGTGGAGCTCAGGTGGAGCTCAGGTGGAGCTCAGGTGGCGCTCAGGTGGAGCTCATGGGTCCAGTCCGGTTGCAGCAGGATGAGTTCACGTTGGCGGATCATTGAGGGGCCTCCGAGCTCCGGCTGAAACAACCTGGTGTAACGAAGGCGCTCCTCCTCTGCAGAGGGTGAAGCCAGGGACAGTGAGGAGCTGTAAGTGTGGCAAGAGTGACGAGGGTGAAAAAGAAGGCAGCGTTTCGGGAATAATCTGTTTATCTGCTGCTCAGACATAATCCGTCTTTACCCCCCAGCGGCCCTCGCAGCACTGGCGTCATCCTGTTAGTGGCTTTCTAGTGTGTGTGTGTGTGTGTGTGTGTGTGTGGGTTCATCTGTCAACCACGTCGACCAGTTTATTCAGCACCCCCCCTCCCACCACCACCCCTCCAGGCCTTCCCTGACACCTGACACAGGTGTTCTCCGCTGGGTTTATTCTGAGCAGGCGGAGGGATGTGACCCAGCGCTCCATTTACAACAATAAAACTCCTGTAGGGATGTGACCCAGCGCTCCATTTACAACAATAAAACTCCTGTAGGGATGTGACCCAGCGCTCCATTTACAACAATAAAACTCCTGTAGGGATGTGACCCAGCGCTCCATTTACAACAATAAAACTCCTGTAAACTGGACTCATCCAGTAAAGGAACATCTCTCATCTCTCCTGGTCAGACTGGTTCTGATACGCATCACGTGTGTTCACAGTAAAGGTTTAAATCTTGAGTTTTATTTATTTGTATTCTTGTAAAATTGTTGTATCTTTAAGTTTCACGTCGCTGTATTTTCTTTTCTTTTTTTCTTGAACAGAGATGACGTTCGTGGTCCTGGTGTGTTTCGCTGCAGAGGCCGTCTCCACGCGCGCTGTGACGTTGCCGTCTGGCTCTGAGGAATACATGAACACTTAGATCCTCTGTTGACCGTACTTTCATGCTTTTGTTACAAATCCCATAAGTCCTGAAGCTTATGCCATCGCAGGCTTCAGGTCCCAGAGGAAGCCTCCGACAAAAGACGTTTGTTACACAAGTAAAGACAAATATGGCTCTTATGTTATGAGTATGAAAAAAAGTATTGTTTTTGTCTCAAGACTCTTCGGAAAGAAGAAGTAAACACAAACATTTATTTAAACGTGCGTGTACATTGTTGGAATGTCTTCATGTATTGTTGTTCATATATTTTGATGATATTGTATTTCATGTTTAATTTCTTTCTGTCAGTATCTTATGTTTCATATGTTAACATTATATTTAACTGTCCAAATAAAAGTACTTAAAACACTTAAACTACATAAATGTCTGAGTTTTCTTTTGTTTCATTTCATATTCTAAGAGAAGATAAACTTTATATTAACTTGTTGCAGCAGCACAAAGACAGTTACATACAGGCCTGTGTACAGAAAGTCAAATCAATACATTCTAGTTGTGTTCAAACTTTTATTTCTTTTCACCAAAATATTTCCTTTTTTCTGCAGCAATTGACAAATTTCCAATTATTTTCATTATTTCTTATGATGTTAATATTTTCTTTAAATAATTGATCCGTTGTTTAGTCCGTAAAATGTCAGGAAATAGTAAAAAACTAAATCCCAATTTCACAAAGCCAAAGCCTTATTAATATTAATATTAACATTAATATCGCAGAAGAAGAAAACACTAACGTTCATGTTGGAGGAGCTAAGCGGAGCGTGTTTATCATCGAGCGACTCAAACAAACAATCGATTAATAAAATAGCTCATTTTTCTGTCGATTGATTGACTAATCGTTCAGTCTTGAATTGCAGTAAATTAAATGCAGTTTTCTGATTGATCTAAATCTCTGAATGAACATTTCAACATGTTACTGCTCGTGGTTTGCGTGTGTGTTTGGAACCCTGAGACTGTAAAGTGAAGATGAACACCAACAAGCCACTGTTTTGATGTGAAGAAGTGGGGGAAAGTTGAAGGCATTACCTCATGTTAGGTCAGCTGAAGCTCAGACATCAGTGAGTTTGGCCAAAGCAAAAGGAGATTAGAAATTGCTTTTAATCTCTAATCCGGCGGCTGGTCCACCGTCCAACTCTGCTCTGTTTATGTTTCCCCTTCTGTGTCCAACAGCAGCAGCCATGGTGGAGAAAGAGAAAGAGTCGTGGTGGTTGTAACAGAAATACTACTAGAGTTTTGCGGTATTTAATGGTACATTAAGTTCTTTGTTCTCAGTGATAATACAATCTCTCTCCTCTCTGTGTGTTATCTATTAAAGCAGGGACACACTTCACTCGTGCAACAACACCGGCTAGAGACAACTTCCTGTTTCTGATCAAAGTCCTCTACATTATTTGTATTTACAGAACAATCCAGTTATGATGAAATGTTGCGCAATGTCACCAAGCCTCTCTTCAGACCACATTAGTTTTTAAAGCAAATCAAGATGGATGCTTTTTTTAATTCTTAAATCTTTTAGCTTTGGACTGATTAAACGTCACATGGACACATTTAAAAAAATGTGTTTGGAATCTTAAAATATTTTGTGTGTAGAGTACAATATTTATAATGGAAGATCCAACGTTGGTGGTAATATGCCAACATGCCGTTCTACAGGTGAACACGTACAGGCATTGATGTTGTTTCTCTCGTAGTCTGAGTTATGTAAACTGTAATGAGGAGTCTTCTAACCTGGCCTGCTCCTTGTGAGTCCATCCCAACATGAGAGACAGTTTGATGCTACTGGGTGGGTGAACTTGGTAATGAATACCTGATGTTATGAAGCTGCAGAGAGCTGCCTCGTCTGCTGCAGTCAAGATGTAATTGGGAACGATTGCTCCGTCATCAGCACATAATCTGTGAATGATACGCAGCATATTTACAGTTTAAGGTTGTTATCTCCACAATGAATTGCCCCTCAGGTCTCGTCTGCACACTTGGAGAACAGACCGCATTAACCCGACAGATCAAGAAGAAAATTAATTCTGCACGGAGAGTAAACACAGAGCCAGAGGCCCGTTTACACGGAGCCTGAAACCAGCCGCGCTCTCCCAGCTGTCACTGGGAACCGAGGCGGGAAGATGTATTTGTATTGATTATAACATCTAGTCATTATTATGTTTAATGAAGTATAATAATGTGCGTAGAGCTCGTGTTAGGAAGTTAAACAGCTCATAATTCATCTCTAACATCTATTTATATTAACGTGAAAACATCTCCTTCAAACTACTGGATTTATTCAAGTTTATCATGAAAATTACATTTTACAGATGACATGTGAACACATCATGATAAGGTTATAATGTACCTTCAGCCAGTACTCATGTTCACTGAGCAGAGCCTGAAGGCATCATGATGTACCTGAAGTGAACCTCCTGTTGGTTAGCCGTTAGCGGTGCTGCTAACGTTACTAGCTCTCCTCCTGTTGGTTAGCCGTTAGCGGTGCTGCTAACGTTACTAGCTCTCCTCCTGTTGGTTAGCCGTTAGCGGTGCTGCTAACATTACTAGCTCTCC